GCCCCTATCAACAGCTACAATTCACCAAACATGTTTCATCTACACATTTTGCCAGTGATGAGTCACGTCTTCTTCTGCATCACTGAGCAAGTGTCAGGCAGAATTGGCTTCTCCCTTCCCCTTATCTGAAGAGAAGGGTCATCAAGTCTACTTTGAAAACACAGCCTCCACATATCAAGTTGCAAAGACTCTTCTGTAAAATGATCAAGCTCTAGCTTAAAATAGCTGGATGATTTGCTCCCCTCGTCTAAGGTGGCAATGCCAGAACCGTGATCTTTTGATGCTGAAAAGATATTTTCTATGTTCATCTAAAAGTTAATCCTCAAACAGTTGATTTATTAGTGTGCTAGTACTGTCCTTTAGCTTAGAGTATCCTTCATCCTCCTTACTGTTTATACTACCACTTCAGTTTATTTATTGGGTGCTGGTTCTATCAATCACTACCTTCACTTCCTAAATCACATATATTTTATCGATATTCTCTGGTGTTGGATATTAATTGGGTTCTCACACACTGAGTTAGCTGCCTTTTATATGTAAATATATCACATCTAGAGATGCCGACAGTAAGCCTCTCAAAGAACAAAATCAGACCTTTTTAAGAAGTACAAAACACTTTCCGTGACACCAATTTTCAGGCATTAATAACTTTATATTAACCCAGGATTGGTGTCATGCTACCCAGCTTCTACTTTCCTGGGCCATCCACTTGGCAATTTTCAAAACTGTCCCAACACAATCGCTCATTCAGTCTCCTGCATTTGCTGTGATCTACCAAGAGTGATTAAAAGTGAACATGAACAAGCTAGAGACCTCCTGTCATTCACCTAGCACTCACTATATTTCAAGGGAATGTGTTTTTTTCCTTAGCACAGCTGCCAGCAAAACTGCTCACTGACAGGACCACACGCTACTCAACTCCCATGTGGGTCCCTGGATCCTGACTTGTATAGTGCTCAACTTCTGGATAATGAACTTATCCTTCCCTTGCTGCTGGCCCAGCTGTCAGCCGCAATGGCACTCAAGGGCACACAGCTCAACAAAGGGAAGCAGAGATGTGAATTTACTGCCCAAATGACCTTTCAGTCTCATTCATGGACAGACAAAAAAGCTGGAGAGAAGAAGTGTTTGGTAGGCACATGACAGGCTGGGCCACTGTCACACTCCTGCTCTTCTGCTGTGTTGAGAGAGGGAAAAGACACTGGAGTGCCTTTAAAGTTTTACAAAGCACGTGCAGGAAATTCAAGATGCCCTGGTTAGGTCCTGCCTGCACTGCTGTGCACCTGGGACCCTGCCACATGGCACTAAGCATCTGCCTGCCACCCCACTGCCCACAGTGAGGTTACACACAACCAGAAGACCCCTGCACCTGTACAGGCTGGTCAGCCTAAAAATTTTTTGGGTGAGCAACGCTAGTGATTCATATATTTCAACAATGATGGAGGTGAAAAGAGAAGGGAAGGCGTGGGGGTGGGCAGGAAGCAACCCCCAGACATTAGTTTCTAAATAGCAGATGTGGCTATTCTGGCTAGCAAACTTCCACTTTAATTTCTAACCCACAGAGATGGGAAATGATTCATGAAAAATCAACAGGATAAAATTAGCTGGAAGGCAGAGAGATAATTCATGCAACCCAACCGTCATGGGCTGAAGTGCCAGCACTACCTGGCATTTCAGCCTCCGGTGCCCTTCAGTCACTGGCACCTGGCCAGCAATCAGCTCTACATATATTTCCTTAGCGTCAAAATTAGCCCCTCTGAAAGCACATCCATCTTCTAACAAGACAGCCTTTCACTCAACACGTTTCCAGAAGTTCCTGCTTTTCCTTTCTTCCTGCAATATGCTATCTTTGTCTTCCACTGGTGAATGTTTAGTGGTGTCAGAAGACCAAATGGATAGACAGGCTTGCACACACGTCTGTGAGCCATGGCCAAGTTATGCACTAAAATCAAACTGCCCCAACAACTCAGAAAACTCAGTGCATTTTGCCAGAGCTCCCTTTTCCTGCACAAAACCAACAACACACTCAACAGCAATGATCAACGCTGGTCTGCCTTTACATACACAAGTGATTTTTTGTAAGACTGCTCTAAATTCTATCAGGAATCACAAAACACGATTTCATTCTTGATACAGTCACATGACAGAAAGTTTCTTGAGCAGACTGTATTACTTACAAATCACAACCCAAAGCTCTTTATCTCAAAGACCAATGAGAAACTTCCACTCCTCCAAGAGATCTCTGGACTTCCAGGAGCCCCCTGGTTATTGAACAATGCCCCCTCCAACCACTCAACTCAAAAGCTTCAAGAATCAAACGTGAAATTGTAAAGCCTCTGGAGCACCAATAACTCTAGGCAGGCAGCTTCACGTGCAGAGGAATCCTCATTCCATTGGGACCTATGAGTACAGATGTAAAATAAAGCTAAAATCCTGCTTTGGCACCATTTATCCGGTTGGTGCCTGTTTCTGTGGAAGGATGTTACAGGACAGTTCCTTCATGCTTGTTACAGTGGTTTCACTCTACTTGGACTTCAGGACACAGCACACAGCTCCTTTCTTTTTACTTGTTCAGCAAAAAGGGAAAGAGTATGTAGAAGAAAATGAGAAGGTAGGAGCAGATCTTACTTTCACTTGTTCCCAAAATTCTGACAAACTAGCTCAGTCCTTTAAAAGCACTAACAAACACAGCAGGCAAAATGAGAACACATCAACTGCTCCACAAAATGCAGAGGAAGCAAAAGCAAGAGCAGTATTTATTTCTTCTCATTTGTACCCTCTTGCAGGCCATTAGGAAGATAAGATCTCACAGCACAACAGACATTATTCAGAGCTGGTAAATCTGTCTACAGGTTAGGGACTCATGTTACACGGCTTGGATGAGTAGTGGTTGAGCATGGGTCACACCGACCCCCTTTTCCTCAGGGCAGGCAGCAGTCCAGATACTCCCAGTGTCAGATCTGCCAAGAAACCAGATATCCGTGTGCTGAATTCACCACCACCACAATTTGATCTGCACATTCCCTTCCATACAGAGAGAAGGGTGTTCAGACCCTGTATATCCTAACACAGCTAACCAGAAAAATATTTCTAGCAGGGGTCGAGCACTTCTGGTCTATACATGCAACCTTAAGTGCATCTTCTACATAAAGACACTGGCTTGCACAGAAATACCTGGTCCTTTACACTATGGATATTTTTAAAACATTGATTAGCAGAAGCATGGAAAGAGCCCAAGAATTCATTCAATTCCAGTCCAAAAAGCAGAGGGAGAATGTCAGAATGACTTCACGTGTGCGAGTCACTAAGGGACTACAAACATTCACCAACTATCCTAGAAGAATTAAAAAGCAACATCTCACCTGACCAGGAACGAGACTTGGTTAAAAGAAACACCCAGCCAATCACCAGTTAACTCCATTACAGCTAGAAAGGACACATTAGCATCTGTCTCAGCATATCCAGGAGCTGCAACCAGTGGATCTGCTGCTCTGGAGGTACTGCCTTTGCAACAGCAGTGCAGCTGGTGAGACTTTGAGAGTCAGGCACCTCGACACCCACACAGTAGCCCTTGACTACCTGAGGTAGAATTTTCAAGGAAAAAAGCGACTTACAAACATACCATACATAATAATGTTGTCTTTACAATCACAAAGGGAAGAGAAAATTAGTAATTTAAAAAGCTTCTAGTCTTCAAAAGCTGATTCAACTAATTTGATCTTGGTAAAGATAATTGGCAAGCCTAGGTGTGAAACATGACAACTATAGAACATATTTTATTGCCTCTGTGTCACCAGTATTGATTTTTCCTTCACTCAGTTTCCAAGTGTTTTCATTAATTTCCCCTGCATTGATAAAAGGACTGGACTCTGCAAGCTGCGGCATATTTAGCATTTTCATTAGTGTTTCCAAGCAAGGAGTCTCCCAAGTCAAAGAAAGCAGCAGACCACATGAAGTACTCCAGCAGCATCAGAAGAAAAGAAATTAAAAAATCCAAACAACAGCAAATCCCCTTGATATACACAGACATGAGGAAGTCAAGGTTTGTACATATGAAAGGTGTAAAGGGAACATACTGGGTCAAACTTAGGACATCTTTAAAGGAAGATGCTGTGAACACTTAGTTTTGAGTCTGCAGTTGAAGGACCACATTTAACTCCACGCAGCCTATTATGATGCAATTTATACGGTACATTTTCAAAATACTCATTGTACTCAAAAAGGAATGCACTGGAAAATATTTCATATTGATTATCAGCCTGCAAATGACTGATGGCTCTGACCAGTATCAGCTCTGATTAGCAGCCTTCAACCCTCTGGAATGCTCTGAAAGGGTGGAGGACCACTGGAGCTGTGTGCCCCAGACGCCCTGATCCCTAGTCAGGAGCCTGGAGGCAGTGTCCTGCAGCCCAGAGATGACCTGGCCTGGGGACCAGCACAGGATGCTCAGCTCCCCACTGTGCAGGGCAGGAGCGCTGCTGGCTCTCAGGGAAGCTAATTACAGCAACCCTAGAGCTGCCACGTGAGATAATCCCCCACATCACCTCCCATGAACTGTCACCACTCTGTCCTTAGACATCTCCCCCGCTACCCACAGCCAGGTTTCCACGGGCAGAAGCCAGCCCAGCTGACAGCAGCACTGGCAGCAAGGTGAGTGCAGGGAGTGGCAGCCCCAGCAGGGCTTGATGCCAAGACTTTAGAACAGCACTCCCTCCTCTGGGACAAGTCACTACAGGCGAAGGAAAACTAGGCTTGCTGAAAAGCCAAAGCTTAAGGAAGGGAGAAGAAGGAGGGCAGAGAAAGGAAGCCATTTATCAGAGCATGCTCAAATTGGACAGTTTGGCTTATGACAGACCCTTCTGATGGGCCCCTTACCGACGGCTGTCCACGAGCAAGGGACTGCACTGAAACAGTTCTGCAGCATGCATTACTGATTGACTGCTGGAGGCTGCCAGGTTCTGCAGCTTAAACTTTATAAATGATATCTATAATGCTTTTACCTTCTGACTGCACAGGAACTGTTCTGAGCCCCGGTACTGCCTCCCAGCCCTGCAGAGAGAAGTGCCCTTTCAGCAACAGCTCTGAAGAATACAAACTATCCTGCCCCCACAAATGGGAGTGATGACCAAGAAACACAACAGCAAAGCTTTAAGTGACAATATCTTTAATTGTTTGATTCTGCAGAAACATATGTTCTTGCACTTAAGTGAAGAGCTTTGGATGGAAGCTGGAAAAATGCCTGTGCCAGTACCACCTTCAATTCTAGCTGAACCTCAAAGCCTACGTGCTGAGGACAGTGACCAGACTTCTAAAACACCACATGGAAAATGTGATTCTAGTTGCCAAGTCAAAATTTTCTCCTTCATCTCTGCTTTTTTGCTCTCAATTCTCCCAGTCTTTTTGATCAGTATTCTCCCTCATGTGCTGGACATTATAAAGAAAAATTTCTCTAACACGGAATACTCATGTTACCCTCCTCACAAGGCTTCTTCTCCATCCACCTTGGTTCCATCTACCTCTCAAAGATGCCACAGGACAGCTTTGTTTTCCACTGCTCTTTGGCCTCTTGTATCTGCAAAATTCTTCCCTTTCCACAGCACTTTTCCCTCATCTTCTTTCTGAAGATGCCATACAGGACGACACAAACCTCTCACCTTGTCCTCTGCTTTTCTTGGGATGGTTGGACTTGCTACTGGAATCCACTTGCTCAGACAAGCTTAACTAGCAGGGATTCCTGAAAAGCCACATTTTACTATGTAGCTTTAGAAGGAACATTTCTCTAGAGGCTTTATTTAAAAACACCTTTGGTAGCAGAGAAGAGGTCACAGGGAGAACAGAAAACCCTGTGAAATTAAAGCCTTCTTTACTCCACTACTGCAGAGGGGTCAGTGCAAGAGAAGGCACCAAAACTGTGTGCAGCTGCACAAGAGCTCTGGTCCAAGAAACTTCACCCACTACACCAGAGCCTCAGGCGGGAGCGCTGCACAGAGGTGCTTACAATGAAAACGCCACGAGCAGGACAAGGGCTGAAACGTGAAGCAGCATCCCACAGCAGGGCTGCCCAGCTGCAGGCCAGCAGGAATTCTGCCACTCGCTCGATGCCAGCGGATAGTGCATGTGCTGACTCCCCTTCACCGGCTATGCCTGTGCCTCAAGCAGCTCTCGGTCCCCGGGTCCGAAGTCAGGTGAGAGAACACATCAGGCAACTCAGCACTCATACAAGAAAATACATCAAGCAAACCCTGATGCGCATCCAGGCTGACTCCAGGTTTCTTAAAATGCCAGAAAGCTGCAATGCAAACTGAAAATTAGTGGTATTTGCTTGCTTTAGCTTTACTTAGGAAAATCACACATCTCAGATACACATATTCCCAGTGCAAAGGAGGCATGAGAAGTTCCCACCTGCACTCATTCCACTGGAAACAAAAGACATTACTTCTCACTGGTACCCAGTCTTGTACCTTCAGATCAAGTTTTAGCAGCTTATTTCCTTGTTCTGAAGGTCCCCAAGTTAGCCTATAGCATTATGAACCCAAACTGTTTTGCCTTTGGGACTATATTTAGTTTCTCCATGCAAATTTTCACATCCATATAACACCACTGGATTGGCAATAACGATTTTCAATACCAAAATGTCACAAATATTGGGCAGCATTTTAAGAGCTCTGGAAGTGGTTTAGCAGCACTTATAGACGAACCAGCAAGAGACGGGCCGTGCTAACAGCAACTTTAAGAATAAAGAACTAGGTAAAAGCATATACTTTTGCATAAATGGACATGGGGAAAAAACAACAACTTAAAACCCCACAGCTCCACTTGGGAATTAACCAGCATGAGAAAAAAATATGGAAAGAAAAGAGTATTAAAAAATAGCACAGAAGGATAAAGTACTCTCTATAAAAAGACCAAAGACCTCTCTTGCCTGGGCTTGTAGTATTTCTCATTAATATACACACTTTGATTCCTGACTCAGAGTGGCAACTTCCACTCACCACAATGCCTGTATCCCCCTGATCCCAAAGCCAGCCTGCTGCAATGCAGGAGCCCTCCTGCAGTGTTCACAACCTTTACACTGCAGTTCCATCACTTTCCAGCAAGGAATACGACCAACAAGCTGCCCCCATCCCAGTAAGATGGACCTTGCTTCAGTCCACAAAAACCAGGTTTCAAAGAAGTCCTTGCTTTTGCCATCATTATTTAAAATCAGGCATTACCTTCACAATACTCTTCCCCTTTACTTGTTAAAGAAGTGCAAGTAATTGCATTCAGTGACCAACAAGGCTCACAATGAGAACCCCCATAAATTGCACCAGAAAGCACCATGCTTCATGCGTGGTCCACAAAGATGCTAAAGGAACAACAGGCCAGTATCCCAAAACCAGAGAGCTCCACACCAAAGCCAGCACTGAGCCAGGAGGCTCAGGACCTCCTGCATGCTCCACAAAGAGCTTTGACATGACTCCTGAGCAGGAGGGAACAACAACTTGCCCTGGTCCTGATAATCCATGCTGCAGTGAGATTGGTCGATTCAGCATTTAGCCAAGAGTCAAACTTCAGCATCTCCCATGGCTACCTCAATTCCCCCCCTGGTGAATAGTTCCAGCAGCCAACCCCTCCTGCTAACACAGCCCTTGGCCACACCAGCATTTGAACTTTTTGCAGGCTGCATATATTTTAAGAGCTCCACACCACCCAGCCCTGTGCTAAACCATTCCTTCTAGAGCAGGAACACCTTTGGTCCAAAAGCACCCCTTGCAAGAAGCAAACACCCATCACATCATCTCAATACTTTTGTTTCCGACTGCAGCTTACACTTGAAAAGCAAAAGCACACCATCCTTAGGAGGCATGCATGTCTGTTGTGGGGTTTATATACAATTCATTAGGAAGTCAGGAGACTCATTTCCCCTTCCACTTTCACTGCTAATAATCTTGGTCATCAGACAAACGGAAACTTAGGGGATGTGAAGCCCAACCCAGGCTGCAAGCCTGTGCTCTGCCAGTCTCACAGGGAGTTAAATTAAACCTTGCTGGCAGGACCAGATCCAAGGGGCTGCTGGATATTTTGGGCTGGGGCTCCTCTGCTGCTCAACAAACCGCTGCACACACCTGCAGTGCTGGAAAACAATCCTATCTTACAGTTAGGTTGGTATTTTTTTAAGCTGGTTTTGCCAGTTCTCCTCCCACTAATGAGAAGCATTAATCACAGGAAAAAGAGGAAGCAACACTGAGCCAACAGTTTTGCCCACAGGCCAGCTTTTTTTTTTTTTTTCCAGGGATCAGAAAAGGGACTCTGGAGGCATCTTCCATTTCCCTTACAAATATAAGCGATATAGGACCATTTGCAAAGAAACTTGAGAAATTTTGTAACTTGAAAAAACAACACACAGAGGGAAGAAGACCCAAGAACGTGCATCTGGAGTTTTTCTGCGCAAGTTAAGAGAGCATCTCGGCGGAGCGGTGCAAAGGCAGCTCTGCCTGGCGCTGTGCACGGGGTGCGGGCGATGCCGC